TTATTTTTCAAAAAAGATATTTGTGTTTTAAATCTCACTTATCCTTTTACAGAGTTGTGCTTAAATGGGTTCGGTTGTGACTTGGTGACTATAGTCGTTGTGGGTTTTTGTGGGGTTTCTTCTGTGGAGGGTTCTTCTGACTGTTTCTGTGGTGTTCCTCTTCGCCGAATAGAGTAGATGTATAATAAAGCTCCAGAGTGCTCCGATTAAACAAACGTAGACTGCGTGCAGTGTGAACCCATGGACCATTGGTGTCCATAATGAGTTTCATAATTTGCATTAGTATAAATATGAATCCGGTCCATATCTTAGAGATAGTGCTTTCCACAATCTTTTATAGGGAATTTTCATCCAGGAGTTCCAAGATGCAAATGGTATTTGCGATGATCTGTTGTCCTGTGGCACAACAGATAAGATCGGGTTGCATTCCCTTCAAGTTCCTTATTTAACCAAAATCCTTGATTTCGGTGTGAGGTATTTGCTCTTGTTTTGTTTTGGTGACAAGAAGTTCATTGTAACATTCCTCGGTTCTGATTTTTACATCCACAGGGATGCATTTGACCAGGTAAATGACTTCTCAGGCTGTTATTGCAATATGCCTTGGAAATTTGCTGATGGTGTAGGCAGACTTATCTGGAACTAACGTGGCTAATGCTAAAGCGTTTTTAAAGATTTGTTTTTCAAGTTAGCACTTGAACATCCTGGTACAGTTGTGTAATTTGTTTGCGAATATGTTTTTCCACATATATGAATGTAGAATTTACATATGCGAAAATGTTTAGTTTGTCAACTGCCAGTTTTTTTATGCACGTAGGTGTTACCATACTGGATTACTACGATAAAGAGCTTTAGGATGCTCCGTCCTGATTATAGTATGCCCACAATCGTGTTCTTTGCTTGTTTGTAGGTGAGTGCGAAGGTAGATGATTGGATTTGTTGCTTCGCTCTTATTCTAAGTCCACGCCGCATTGCCCTCATACAAGACATCATACTGTCCAATGACACTGGCTTCCAGAATGTGTATCCTCGAGGTCGATGCATGTTGCAGGTTGTTCCAGATGGTAAGATTACTTCATCTATATCGAGCTTTACAGGTATTGTAGATTGGCGAGTTTGGATTTTAATTATTACCTTAACGACTGCATCATTCCAAGATCCCACGGCATGTTCCATCTGTATTTACAGAACTTGCCAAAGTTGCTGTTCGAATTGATATACAGTAAGGTTTGATCCCATCAAGGAAAACGTCGTTGCCCATGGAAAATGTTGAGTCCCGATGGAGTTGTAGACATTTTGCATAGGAAATGTCCATCATGGATGATTGAGATGTTAGAGTACATCCTACAGTGGTAAATTGTTATTTTCCTTGATCTTGCATTGTATGATTCATACTTGGAAAGCTGGAGCAGCTGGATGAATGCGTGAGTGGTGTTGGTTGTTATTGCTGGAATTACTCATTTCCCGATTTCCAGTGTTGAAATCTTCGTATGATTTAGTTTGCTGCCTCCACAGTCAAACCTCATTCACCCGTATGTTACAATGATTTTGCCCACGAAGAAAATGAATATGACGATATACATGATACGATATTTAACTACAACAGTTAAAACTAAATTTACAAAAAATGAAGGTATTACAATGTTTCCTATTTTCAGTTTTACATTATTATGACTTAATATTTGTATTATTTCATAAGGTCCGGTGTGTCGATCTGCAAATTTATTTAACACTGGCTCCTTCAATATACTGAATCGCCTACTTGGAATTGGCGAGTCTTCATCTTTTTATTGTAATATTTTTTTGAACGGTGCTTCGCTTGAATTAAATTTTCTGGAGCCTGGTTTTGGATGTCTTTTAACGTGTCAAATAAATTTACTTACTTAACAAAAGTATTACTACTTTTGTAGTTTCTTGGACATTCAAATTTCTTATAAATGCATAAAGATCCGCAATCTAGTAATAAGTATCGGTAATAACCATAGGTTGGCGACTTTTAATCCGGGTTAGCTCTTTTTGTTTACATGTTCTGCATTTTTGAATGAATTTTTCTACTTATTTTGTACTTCTGTTTTGAGATTTGACCACGTGTAGTTTTTGTGACGCCTTTGTGACCGTTTAATGGAGATTCGTGAGTTTCCGAAATTATCCAAACTCTCTTTTCCGCTGGGAGAACTGATATTTATGCTGTACATATTGTTATAGTTAATGTATAGCTTTAAATAAATTCTTCAATTAAGTGATCACGAATTTCCATGGACTGTCACCAAAGGGGTCTGTTTTACTTATACTAAATGAGCTTATTTGAAGTTCAGTTACTGCGTCAAATAAGGTTTGTGCATCCTTATAGAGTATAGTTCTACGTCTACGATGCTCGTGGATAAGATATTAAATTCGTTAATATATTTTTCTGCTACAACTTAATCTCACAGAGTCGCATTGAAATTGAATCACGCTCGAACGGTTGTGCGAACTGGTTTATTGCATACTATGGACTATATAAGACGGTTGAAATTGTATATAATTGTGAACGGTTCGGCAGTGATAACGTGACTGACTTTTCTTGAAACTAACTTCCTCCATGTGATGCTTTAATTGTGGAGACATATTCCATGGTGAATGTAAAAGGAAAGAACATTGCATAAACTGCGAGGAAGACCATGGATCATTGAGCAGGACACGCATCTATTCTGAAAACAGCACGCGATTAGAGTCATTGAATCAAAAGCTATTAGAACAACGATGGGTTATATTCCACCCATCTCTTTGTTCAATTTCTCACTTCATCATTAATATTTAAATTTGTCATTTATATCAGCAAAATGTTTTCAATGTAGACTTGTTATGCAGTGTTTAACAAATTGCAGCCACTGTTGTAAAATGTTGATCAATCTTGAATACAAGGAGAAAGTTGTAGACAGAGAAGCATCTCCTTTTGCATTTCA